TATTTTATCTAGTTTTCTGTATAGCTTTCATTAAACACTAATGGTATACCTGATTGTTTTATTGTCATTTTTAGCTCTGTATTTTATTTTTAAATCTACCTCATTTAGTTTTTATTCCATTCTGTTTTATCGTCTTGTCAGTCACCTGTGAAGCACTTTGTACTGCACTTGACTGTATGAAAGGTGCTATATGAATACATTATTTGATTCATTGAATGATGGTAGGCAGCTGGCAAGTTATTTATCTTGAGCCAATGTCTGCTTTAGTTTAACCTTTCCCTGCCATTTAAAATGGAAGTAAGCAGTGAGTATTATATGTGTTCATGGATTGGACAGTGTATTTGTGAACTTCTTGTGGATGTCCTAACCATTAGCAATGACGTTGAAACAAACACTAAAAAGATACAAAAACTATTTATTAATTTCCAAGAAGTGTACAAAGATCTGCTGAGAAGTAGTTTATATGACAGGTAAGGAATAGACATCTGATGGGGGATTCACTGCTAACAGATTTTGAAAGCATGTTGACGTGGTTGTGTGTTATTTACTGTGTGCTCATCCTAGAGTGGAGGGAGACAGCTCTGCTCTCTGACAGTAAACAGCAGCACTATCATCTGGTCCCACACTGTTACTGTGTGAACAAGCTCCAGATCGGACTCTGAGCGAAGTGTGATGGTCCCCCTGGAGGCAGATGATTGGCTCTCCCTGGGGAGGAGACGGTGCTTTGTGGAGTGTCAGTTGTTCTGGGAGGCCTGCTGCATGATGACTGAACACAGACTCAACATCTGCAGGTACTCGTCTGCTCCGTCTGACAGGCACTTGCCCACGACCTGAAGACACAAGCACATTAACTTCTATATGACAGACTCTGTTATGCAGTGAGATTTTCTTCACAAATCGCCACCTGAATACAGCTGATTACCCCTCTGTCTCTCCTGAAGCTTGATATCATATTTAATAAGAATGTAATAATCCCTGTGTGTCATCACTGCAGACCCACTCACCGCCATCTTCTCTGTGATGGCTGACTTCTGCTTGTCGCTTAGGTCCTGCTCCTCTATGATCGACTCGTGGAGCTGACTCAGGATCTGTGTGGCTGCGTAGCCTTCATCTACCATGTTCTGACAGAGGAGAAATTCAGCAGGTGAGGATGTGATGTTACAGGGAGTGAGGGAAAGCCAGCGCAATACACATTCACTGCAACTGCAGATGAAAAGTGACTTTTTTTAAAAAACGTTTAACGTATTCTTTATTTATTTTTAATGATGAAATATTTCAAACCTGAAACTTTCAGCCAGAACTCTCATTTAGAGCAGCTAACAAGAAAACAAATGCCTGTCAAAAACAAATGGACAAAGCGCTGACACCCACCCTGACCGCAACCTCTAGTTTCTCAAATGTGCCTTTGAAGCAGATCTGGAGCAAGCTGTCAATCATCTTGGGAGGAACGACCTATGAAAGAGATGAGAGACATGACTGGAATGAGGCAGAGGATGAGGAGTTTCAAGTTGTGCAGGAAGTTTCAAACAGTGAAATTAATAAATGGTCCATCATCAGTTCCTACAGCCTTCTATATGACACAGAAGTGCGTCTCACCCCGGCTATTTCGATGATGGCACGCTCTGTGATCTCCTTGTTGACACTGAGGCGCGCAGCACTCTGCAGGAAGGTGATGGCTTTCCGCAGGTCTCCCTCAGACACCCTCACCAATGCTGCGATACTCTGGACGAACAGAAACAGTCATCACACCTGGACTTCAGCAGCTGTACAAAGAAAGCATTCTCTGCCAGACAGCAGCATGGTGAAAGGTCCAGCGTGTAGGATTTTGTGGCATCTAGTGGTAAGATTGCAGATTGCAACCAACTGAAACCCCCTTTCTTCCCATCTTAAAACTGAAATCTTTCTATAGTTTCCTAATGTGCTCTCTTAAGGGTGCTGGGTAGGGTTGAGTGATATGTTAAAATATTCCAACTGTCAGCCCAACAACCAACCATTGCCCATATATTCGCAAGCCCTGAAACCACATGTTTTGTATAGTTTTTGTCAATTTTTTGGTTCTGCTCAGGTTAACAGCCCCCTCTAGTAATGTTTAGATTCCTCATTTTTCAACTCTTTGATTATTTTTAAATTGCTCTACTCCTTTTACATCAACACAACAGTTGATCAGCACGTCAACAGTTCGTATAAACACTCTTAGAACACACTCTCAGCCTTTAAGATCAAGTATCGTAGGGCCAGAACTAAAAGGCAACAATAAATCTTTTTTTCCTCGGTTTGGACCAAATAAACCAAACTACAGCTAACCGCAACACCATCACATTCTCTCTCTTTTACCTCACTGGTGTACTTGAGGTTCTCCTTCTCACAGATCTCCAGCAGGCGCTTTTCTTGGATCTGATTAGCTAGAGGTTTGAAGCGAAACTTGGAACATCTGGAGGTCAGAGGCTCAATAATCCTAGAGAACACACAGCAGGGTCGGGATCAGTCACGTGCAGAGTGTGTCTGTGTGTCTGATGACTTTGAGAAGTCTGCTAACCTGCTGATGTAGTTGCAGATGAGGCAGAAGCGGGTGGTGCGGGACTCCTTTTCCATGGTTCGCCTGAGAGCGGCCTGAGCCGCTGACGTCATGGAGTCCGCCTCGTCCAGGATGATGATCTTGAAAGGAGGACACAACTTCCCACTGCAGATACAAACAAACACAGTGTGGAATTTATAACTGAAACTATTCATTAACACCGAGGGCTTTTTACTCAACTCAGGAAAATTGCCATGTAAGGAATACATGTGACACAATGAATGCTGACTCACTCTGAGCGAGTCCCGGCCACGGTGAGCTGAGCAAAGTTCTTGACCTTCTCTCTGACGACCTGGATGCCTCGTTCATCAGAGGCGTTGAGCTCCAGCACCCTCTGTTTGTACAGCTCTGGACTGCAGGACGAGGAGGGACATCCATGAACAGAAAACAGGTGCACGGCAGGACTTTCTGCAAATGCAAAGAGCTACAATCTGTGCTCTGTTAATAGTTCACTCACCCGTAAAGTTCTCTGGCAGCAGCTAAGATGGTGGAGGTCTTTCCTGTTCCAGGGGGACCATAGAAGAGCAGGTTGGGAAGCTGCAATTGAAGCACAACTAGTGAGACTGTGCCCTGCTGGCTTTGTAGGACGACACAGAAAGGATGCACCGTTTAGCTGATGTTTGTGTTTGTGGACTGCTTTTGTGAATACCAATGTCATTTCTTATATATATATATATATATATATGTGTGAAGATTCATTACATAAATAATGCTGCACAATAAATAGAGGGATTCAAATAGACCCCATGACTGGGGATCTGTATCGGCTGATACTGCTTCCAGTGATTGGCGATCGGCCAAAAAAAACCCAATTGGAGCACCCATAGAGGACACGCATCTTAAATGACTTAAGTACAACTGTCATGCTCACAGACACTTCCAAGTGTGGACAGAAGTCTTGTATAGTCTATATTTTTCTTATTGTCTACTAATAAGTATAGTATGTGTATCAAAGCCTAATATATGTCCTTCCCCTGCGCCACAGAGCTCTATTAAAAACATCAGTTTGAACAGTTTTGCCTTGTCATGACCACCATCAGATTCATGTCTACGACCCCGAAGTGACCTGCATGCACAGATGAAGATGAAGACATGACATCACACGCAGCACACTGTGTTTACGTAAAACTTGAACAGAATTGTCACAGCCCAAATACTAATTAAGTTCAAAACCTCACTGAGGAGCTCCATCAACGGTGTCTGCCATGCCATTGTATTGATATTGCCGCGTTCCGCCTCCTCAGCTGTGGAATTGTGACGTCTGTTTCACTTAAATGACGTAAAAGTCGGATGAAATGCGACATGACCGTTCAGATTGAGGTCGCTTTGAAAAACATCAGATATGTATCCGATTTAGGACCACATATGAAAGTGACCTGGATCTGATTGAAAAAAAAAAAAAATTTGGATAAAAAAATCAGATATGGGTCACATATGGGCAAAAAAGTCAGATTTGGGCCACTTTTGCCTGCAGTGTGAACGTAGCCCTAGTGCATGCACAGCAGCAGCACCCCGACTCTGTTTGACTGGAATCAGTTCCCCTGTCCTACTAATAGTCGAGTTAACTGTCTAGTACTAACTGCTAACAGGCTGCTGCCATGAGCTGGTTAGTGGTCCTATTAGCTGACTGTACCCGCACTGAGAGCTCGAAGTACCAGGGCAGGTTTATTTACACTAGCAGGAGCTTTGAGCTGCCAGTGAGTGGGGCCGGAATGAGCACCAAAACAAGAGTGGGGCAACAGAGCTGGGCTCAGCAGCCTCCCAGTGACCGTAGCCGGGGCCGACACCATCAGGAGCCAGGTGATTTACAGAGGCTCTGACCAGGACTAGACACAGTGGGTTCAGGTGGAGAAAGGAGAGTTTTTTGATTTGTAAGTAACGTTATACATTATTCATCGTATCTTGGAATTATTTTATTTCAATGTTTTGAACAACCAGATTGCGTGATGTTATACTGTGTTTAAATTGTAAATTTACTAAATGAATGGACAACTACCAGTCAGCTAGTAAACTCTTTAGTCAGGGACAGCACTATTAATTAGTATCATCAGTAACACCTGTGTGTACCCTACTATTTCATGTCAAAAGGCTGGTGCTTTCTGGCTCCAGACAGTTCAGAACCCCGTGTCCCCTCTGCATGACTAACAGATGTGAACTAACTCTTTAATCTTAAAGCATTGTGATTCTAATGTAGTAGGGAAATTAAATGCAAGTTCATCTCTATACTGTAATTAGTTCCACCATCATTCATACCTGCAGCTACGGGGTTGATGAAAGTGTAAGTGAAAAGTCTGAACAGGTCGCTTCAGCTCTAGAAACATGTTCCTGCTGGATGATACTTGCACTTGGGATACAGGGGTCTGTAAAAGCCACCATAAGAAGCTGATACTTACATCTGCTCCTTCCAGAGACTTCTTCAGCACAGCTACCACCTCCTCCTGAAAGGCCACTTCATCCACACACTTCGGCCTGCTGCAGAAACACAGCCTGTTAATATTCATTAAGCCTGTGGGCTCTCTAATTAATCAGACACATCTGATATAGCCTTGCAATGTTTGATGCATCATCAGCACAGATTATACACACCGAGTGGCCACTTCATCAGCTACTCCTGATCGAATGCAATCCAATGACAGTTTTGCCATAGCGTCTGTCTTTATGTAGCTATGTAAAGATATAGTGGAGTCATAGTGTCCTGAGCAGAGAATGGCGTCACACCCCGTGGATTAAGGATTTATTTCCACCAAAGCACAGTTGGTGATTGTTGGAACAGTGGAAAGACTAACTGAGACCATTCTGGTGAGTTTTATTTTGTTTCTGTCTACTTTGAATGAAGTTATGATGTTACAATGATATGTGAGGTACATTTTTGTCTATGGAGTCTGGTGGTAAATGATCTGAGAATAACAATCTGAGTCTGTCAGTGGCAAAAACAACTTTCAGTGGTCGTACTTTGACAGGTGTATTTGCCCCCACAGATCAGCTAACATTGCATGACAGCCAAAGCAGCCTGTTTTGCAGCTATTTTCTCATTTAACTCAAGTGAAATATGGGTTTATTTTGACTAAACCAGCATTAGTGAGTGTTGGATGGAGGAAAGACTAACAAAGACGGTGTTGGTGAGTTTTATTTTGTTTCTGTTCCATTTATGGATTTTCTGTGAGGTAAATATTTGGTTTTGTCAATGGAGTCTGGTGGGCTGTAGTGTCCATTGTTTTGGTCTGAGATGCTGGTGTTCTAGTGCAAAACCTAGTGGCAAGTTCATTTTGTATAACCCTTAAAGTTGTTGTTGTACTGGACTACATTATATTAAGTATAATAAGTGTGTAAAATTTTGTATCCCTCCCATTTATAAACATGGGTCAGAAGAATGTTGAAAACACCTCAATATAATGCAGTCCCGAACACCACTAACTATGACCTAATTGCTAAAACATGAATGAACGCCTCTACGACAGTGTAAGTAAGTAAGTAAGTAAAGCTTTATTTATATAGCACCTTTTTGACACAGAGATCCAAAGTGCTTTCCAAACAACAAATAAATAAACATAACAACACACGGAAAACAAACAAAGGAAGATAAA